TGACCTGTTCCTGCTCAGTTGATGAATAATGACCTGAGGTGATGCAGAATGAATTGTTTTTACCATAATTCTGAGGAAGCTGTACATCCTGATTGTGTTTTCTATAAGTGAGTCAGGAATTTAGTCCCAGAGCCTCTCTCTCAAAACGTGAAATCTGACAGACACGATGGAAAGCTAACTTTGTGTGACAGGAAACTTTCCATTTGTGCCGGATAGGCCTTTTTCTTGATTTAATTATTTCTGCCTGGCTTGTGCATTCCCTCACTCATCCGGGGATGGGTCCTGACATGAGGCAGGTCTTTATTTGATTACTTGAGCTTTGTATGTTTTTCTGCTGAGGTGGGTGGGATTTAAAGAGGCGTGGCAGCCTATTCCTAAGAAAAAAAACTTAGACTTTGTATTGTGTATTTATGTGTCCCTCTTAATATTTAAGACATTTACATTTGCAATCTTATACCAGATAGTCAACATGGATGGCTTTATTCTGACAGTTAACATCCATGTTTTTCGTTCAAGCTAATTCCTGCCCTATTTTTCCTTAGTCAACACATCCTGTTTTACTCAAACACATTGGATTACAGAAGTGAAAGGATTGTGAACTCCATTTCACGTTGACTCTGACAGTGTGTATGTTAACACACAGTGTGTAAGTAAATACACTAATAAAGTTTTTTTAATTATTATTATTACTTCTGTTCCGAAAGGATGCATTAAGCTGATCAGAAAGTGACAGTAAAGGCATTTAGTGTTACAAAAGATTTCGATTTCAAATAAATTTCTATTCCTCAAGAATCCTGGAAATTTTTTTTAATCACATTTTCCACAAAAATATTAAGCAGCACAACCTTTTCAACACTGATAGTAAGAAGAAACTTAAGCACCAAATAATAACCAAATCAGCATATTAGAATGATTTCTGAAGGATCATGTGACACTGAAGACTGGAGTAATGATGCTGAAAATTCAGCTTTGTCCTCACAGGAATAAATGACATTTTAAAATGTTTTAAAATACTATATTAAATGTCTCAATCCCTTTGTCCCCTTCTGTCTTTATTTTAAATGATCTTTCGGACATCCAACTTAACAAAATGCAGAAGCGAGTCTTTTTAGCTGGCTTGACAGCGGCCAAGAAAATTGTTGCAACAAGATGGAAGCCTCCACATTCTATTAATAAGCAATATTGGGTTCTCACTTTTATAGACGTGGTGTATCTTGAACTGTCCACTGCTCGTCTTCATGGCGCCAGAGAGGACACCATTAGACTTTGGGCTCATACTTTAGAGAAGCTTAAAGGTTTATTAACTTGAATTAAGGAGATTCACCCCCCTCCCAAATACACACTTTCTGGTCTTGGGCTTTTTTTTGTTTTTGTTTTTGTTTTTGTTTATTTTTTATTTTATTTTATTTTATTAATTTTTTTTATTATTATTATTTTTTTTTTCTTCATATATGTTGATTTAGAGTCGTGTTTAAGGTTCCCTGTTTGGGTTATAATTGCCTCTTTTTATTGACGTAGACTTCTTTCAGCGCTGTTCCAATTGTTTGTATGTCAAGATTTTTGTATGGGTATATATTTCTTTTTACATAATCTTTTGTACATGTATAGTCTTTGTACTTTGCATATTTTGGA